GTCTAAAACCAGGACTAAACCAGGACTAAACCAGGTCTAAACCAGGCTTAAACCAGATCTAAACTGAATCTAAACCAGATCTAAAGCAGGTCTAAACTGGGACTAGATCAAGGCTATGCCAGGACCAAACCAGGACTAAAACAGTTCCAGCAGCTTGTAGAAAATCTCACATTCTTTCTGCCCACTTCTTCAGAAAAATATAAAGCTCTGACCATGACCGACGAGAGGAGGGAAAATCGATCGTGTCTAAAGTCTCAAGGTTCATCTGAGTCACGTACAGAAGAAAAGAAGCTCTGCACTGATAAAAAATAAACCTCAAACGCGCACGGACGACATCGAAAACCGCTTCAGACGTGTTTTTGAGGAGGAAACGGCAGAATAACAAAAGCACGACTTTCAAGGATAGTAATAATGTTTTTAAAGCTCTCTCAGATCACGTGGTTTCCTCTTTACGCTCACAGTCTCCGTTTCAGTTTTCAGTCTGATCGTTTGTTTCATTTCACGGGTGTTTTTCTCTGAAGTGGAAGATTAGAGCAGCTGCATCACAAACAGCACAAACACAAGGACAAACACAAACAAACACTAAAGACAAACACAAACAAACACAAACAAACACAAACAAACACTAACACCAAACACAAACAAACACTAAAGACAAACACAAACAAACACAAACTCATGCTTCAGTCTGAACTGTCGGTGGCACCTGTGGGTCGACACTTACTACTCAGTTCTGGTTTAGTCCTGGTTTAGTCCTGTTTAGTCCTGATTTAGTCCTGGTTCAATCCTGGTTCAATCCTAGTTTAGTCCTGGTTTAGTCCTCTTTTAGTCCTCTTTTAGTCCTGGTTTAGACCTGGTTCAATCCTAGTGTAGTCCAGGTTTAGTTCTGGTTTAGTCCTGGTTTAGTCCTGGTTTAGTCCTGCTTCAGTCCTAGTTCAATTCTAGTTTAGTCCTGGTTTAGTTCTGGTTTAGTCCTGGTTTAGTCCTGCTTCAGTCCTAGTTCAATTCTAGTTTAGTCCTGGTTTAGTTCTGGTTTAGTCCTGGTTTAGTCCTGGTTTAGTCCTGGTTCAGTCCTAGTTCAATTCTAGTTTAGTCCTGGTTTAGTCCTGGTTCAGGCCTGGTTCAATCCTAGTTTAGTCCTGGTTTAGTCCTCTTTTAGTCCTGGTTTAGACCTGGCTTAGTCCTAGTTTAGATTTGGTTTAGTCCTGGTTTATTCCTGGTTTAGTTCTGGTTTAGACCTGCTTTAGACATGGTTTAGACCTGGTTTAGTCCTGTATTAGTCCTGTTTCAGTCCTGATTTAGTCCTGGTTCAGTCCTCTTTTAGTCCTGGTTTAGACCTGGTTCAGTCCTGGTTTATTCCTGGTTTAGTTCTGGTTTAGACCTGCTTTAGACGTGGTTTAGTCCTGGATAAGTCCTACTTTAGTCCTGGTTTAGACCTGGTTCAATCCTAGTTTAGCCCTGGTTTAGGCCAGGTTTAGTCCTGGTTTAGACCTGGTTTAGACCTGATTTAGACCTGGTTCAGTCCTAGTTTAGACCTGGTTTAGATCTGGTATGTTTGTAGTTTGTGGAATTTCCTGTCTCTGATCCTGAGTTTATCAAATATGACACAGTTTTTTATGAGGTACATTCTTCACTGTCTGCAACAACATTTAGACAAGCAGACACAAACCAGGACCAAACCAGGACTGAACCAGGACTAAACCAGGAACTAAACGAGGTCTGAACCAGGACTAAACCAGGTCTGAACCAGGAAAATCACGTGTGAGTGGAGCTTAACACAATCAACCGTCCTGGGATTGTTCTAATGAATAAAAACACAAACGTCGGACAAAAGCAGGTCACATCTGGACCAAAGGCTTAGACCAAAAAAAAAACCAAAACATGTTTACAGGAGGGAAACCAGGGGACGGGAGGGCATCTGACACACGGGGCGACAGGAGGAGGAGGGTGGGAGGGCATCTGACGCACTCACCGGTGAAGCGGGCTTGTTTCTTGGTCTCGTCCCAGGCCACGGTCCGACTGGCGTGAACGGGAGCCATGATGAGGACCAGGACCCACAACATGGCCGCCCTGAAACAGCAGAGGCACAGGTGTAAACGAGGAATAAACCAGGACTAAACCAGGTCTAAAACAGGACTAAAGCAGGTCTAAATCAAGACTAAACCAGGGCTAAAGCAGGACTAAACCAGGTCTAAATCAAGACTAAACCAGGGCTAAAACAAGACTAAAGCAGGACTAAAACAGGTCTAAACCAAGACTAAAGCAGGACTAAACCAGGAATAAACCAGGTCTAAACCAGGACTAAACCAGGTCTAAACCAGGACTAAACCAGGTCTAAACCAGGACTAAACCAGGACTAAACCAGGACTAAACCAGGACTAAAACAAGACTAAACCAGTGCTAAACCAGGACTAAAACAGGTCTAAAATGGGTCTAAAACAGGTCTAAACCTGGACTAAACCGGGACTAGAACAGGACTAAACCAGGTCTAAACCAGGTTTAAACCAGGTCTGAACAAAGACTAAACTGGGACTAAAACAGGGCTAAAGCAGGACTAAACAAGGACTAAACCAGGACTAAACAAGATCTTAATCAGGACTAAATCAGGCCTAAACCAGGACTAAACCAGGTCTAAACCAGGGTTAAATCAGGGCTAAACCAGGATGAACCAGAACTAAACTTGGACAAAACCAAGACTAAATCAGGGCTAAACCAAAACTAAGCCAAGACTAAACCAGGTCTAAACCAGGTCTATACCAGGGACTAAACCAGAAGTAACCCAAGACAATACCTGCACTAAACCAAGACCAAACCAGGACTAAACCAGGATTAAACCAGGACTAAGCCAGTACTAAATCAAGACTAAGACAGGACTAAACTCGCTCCGTTTTCTCCCCGTTGGTTTTATCCTGTTTCTGAGGAGTTTGTTTTGAGTCAGTCCCTGTCATGAGACCATCACATGGGATAACGCTCTTTTTTTTTTTTTTTTCATCTCTCTATCCCTCCTCTTCTCCCCCTCCCTCCTCTTTTCCCTCACGTTTTCAACCTTCTCGCTTTTTCTCTTTTGTCGTTTGTCCCTCTGTCTCTCTCCTCTTCTCATTCTTTATTCATTCTCCTACTTTCTCCTCTCCTCTTCTCTTTCCGTCTCTCTGTTCTTTTTCCATCCTCTTTCTTGTATAATAAAATAATTCAATAACTAAATAAGGAGTCTGTATTAAAAGTCAGAAAAAAACTGCGATTAAATGACATCACAAGGTGGCACAGAAATCCATGTGTCATTCGTTCATTTGTTTTTCAAAATAAAACAAAAACAAAAAAAAAAAACGAAAAAACAACTATTTTCTTCATTATTTGTCTCCAAAACCAAAATGACTTAAACTGTGATACCAGGACTGAACCAGGACTGAACCAGGTCCAGGACCACACTGGGACCAGACCAGGACTGAGAGCTAGACTGAGACTGGGACTGAGACCAGGAGTGAGACCGGGACCAGACTGGAACTGAAACCAGGACCAGACCAGGACCAGACCAGGACCAGACCACGACTAAGACTGGGACCAGACCAGGACCAAACCACAACTAAGACCGGGACCAGACCAGACCAAGACCAGACCATGATTGAGATTGGGACTGAGACCGGGACTGAGACTAGGATTTAGACCGGGACCAGACCAAGACTGAGACCGGGACAGAGACTGGGAACAGACTGTAACTGAGACCAGGACCAGACCGGGACCAGACCGGGAGCAGACCACAAGTAAGACTGGGACCAGACCAGGACCAGACCTTGACCAGACCGGGATCAGACCACGATTAAGACTGGGACCAGACCAGGACCAGACCACGACTAAGACTGGGACCAGACCAGACCAGAACCAGACCATGATTGAGACTGGGACTGAGACCGGGACTGAGACTACGATTTAGACCGGGACCAGACCAAGACTGAGACTGGGACTGAGACTGGGACCAGATCAGGACTGAGACCGGGACAGAGACTGGGAACAGACTGTAACTGAGACCAGGACCAGACCGGGACCGGACCGGACCAGACCGGGAGCAGACCACGACTAAGACCGGGACCAGACCAGATTGAGACTGGGTCTGACCAGGACTGAGACCAGGACCAGACCAGGGCCAGACCAGGACCAGACCACGATTTAGACCGGGACCAGACCAAGACTGAGACTGGGACTGAAACTGGGACCAGACCAGGAGTGAAAACAGTTTAGTCCTGGTTTAGTCCTGTTTTAGTCCTGGTTCAGTCCGGCATCGCAGCTTAAATCACGTAAACGGGAAACGTCCATTATCCCTTTTTTCCATTTTTCATTTAACACAAAATCGAAAACTGAAAAAACTAATCATTATCAGTTTTTCATTTTCCTTTTTGGTTTTGAAGACAAATAATGAAGAAAATTGTTGTTTTTTCATTTGCTTATTTTTGGTTTTATTTTGAAAAACAAATGATACACAGATTCACGGAGCATTTTGAGCTTTGGAGACGTAAACAGACGAATAATAAACAAACAAAACACAACTCCAGGTTTGTTTTGAGGAGGAAACAACATTACAGTTAAATTTTGTGAATGTTTAAATACAACAAGTGAAAAATGGGTTATGATCCAAGAACTTCAACTTTAGTTCACTTTAGTCCAGTTTAGCCCAGTTTCTTAGAAGTCCAGGACCACCTGGACCAGGTCAGACCAGGAATTAGGTCTTTAAAGAGGTCGCATGGAAATGTCCGCTCCTGTTCTGCACATGCTCAGTAAACGGACGCTAATCTGATTAACCTGTAATAGGATTAACAACAAGGAGCCAAAAACATAAGGGTTACCACGGAAACGAGCGTGTATAGGTGAAAAGTCCCTGTCCACACACTCGCATGTACAGGTGAAGTGACAGGTGAAGCGACAGGTGAAGCGACAGGTGAAGCGTCTCTGTCCACACAACAGACTGTATTTAGAAGTGGACTAAGCGAGTGTTCAGCTCCAGTCAAATGAAGCTCATTGAGGCTGGTAGTTTCAGGAGCAAATTAGGAGCCGATTTCCACCCATGAGTATCAGAGCAACTAAAGAGCCAATCAGGAGTGTGGCTATTGAAGGTAACACCTCTTAGCAACGTGTCAATCAAACCTGGGACGACCCATGGATCTAATAAAAACTGGATAAGCCCCTCCCCCTCTGTCCCGGCTCCAGACAGACTAGTGGCCGCTCCAGGTACTGCAGCTCCCGGGAGCATGGGCCCAGAAAGAATTCCCCCTTAGAATACGTTTACACATCGCCGGGTTTTTTGAGTAACTAATATTTCCCTCCATCCATTTTCCAAAATAACATTGTGCACACAGCATTGTTTTCAATAAAGCTTTTGTTTACATCAATCCGCATAAATATGACACTGAGCAAGATCATAACTACACCAAACCTCTGGGAGGCACCTGGGTTATTCAATCCTGCAACATTTACTTCATTACAGTTGTAAGTTTTACTCACAAATACCTTGAAAAATATGCACTACTGAACGGGCTCGCCTCTCCACAGATCTGTTAAAGAAGTGGTTAAATCACTGAGCTCTGAGCCTCATTCGTCTCTGGTCATGGATACGAAACATCAGCTGTGTACAAATGCAAACACATGAAAAGTGTTTCACCAGAAGACATGCGACTGCTGCTCTGAATGATTCATCATCATCAGAGCAAAAGGTAAACATTGGTCACATTTTTGGCACGTCAGCTCCTAAAACTGTTTATGTCACTTTACACGCCAAACTGTCAAACTGTAGTTTTCCAGAATCTCCACTCTAGCCGGAGTTTTTAGAAAGATTTTCTCTCTGAGAGAATTTGATAGGTACAAACGAAGGGAAATGACCCCGTTTTTAAAAATGCCCGTGTACGTGTAAATAGAAGCACAATGTATTATGGGAATTGAAGCTGTCCGTGTTCTGACAGGACATCAACTTTCATAAAGGTCGAATTTTGTATGATTTAATGTGATGATACAGTATCGATATCGTGGGCTGCTGTATCGATATATTGCCAAAAGTATTTTTGGTGTATTTTACTAAATTATTTTGTTACAGCGCTGCAGTTTTGATGATTAAAATGTTTGTGTTTCATATGAACTTTGCACAAGAAGTGGTTTAACAGAGACTGTTAGTGTCACAGTCATGATTTAGTCTTTATTTTTACTGAATCGTACCGAATCAAAAGCTCACTGAAAGTGAACTGGAGGCAGAGTCAGTGGAGCCGGAAGTGCGCCCATGCTCACTTCCTGTTTTGCTATGTCCATATGTACATTCTATGGTCCACACACTCCTTTACGTTTATCTGGTGATACTTGGGGAGGAGTGAGTTTCTTCCACAGAATTTGATAAAAGCCTTTATCTCTAGACTCTCCTTATCACTATCTGTCACAACTTCAGTCCACAAACGGCTGCTGAAATAGTAGTAGTAGTAGTAGTAGTAAAAGTAACGGTAGTAGTACAAAATAGAAAAATAAAAACACCAGGATCATGTAGAACGGGTTAATACGACATTTTAAGACCAGAACGAGGAGCCTTAAAGCAGCAGTTACAGAGACAGGCGCGACACAATTTCAATGTTGAGTCAGTTGGAGCCAGAACAGATGGAGCCAGAAGTGCCCCCAAGGAATGAGTGCAGTCCTGATGCTATTAATAATATTAATAAAAAATGAAGACTAGACTGAGACTAAACCAGGACTGAAAACAGACTAGACCAGGACTAAACCAGGACTAAACCAGGACTAAACCAGGTTTAAACCAACACTAGACCAACAGTAATACAGGAACATTTGAAATGTAAAAGGTAGGGATGTGCAAAAATATTGATATATCGTATTGTTTAATGTGATGATACAGTATTGATCTTGTGGGCTGCTCTATCGATTTATCTCCAAGAGTATTTTTTTGGTATGTTTTATTAAATAATTTTGTTACAGCTCTACAGTTTTGTTGCTTGTTTAGAGGAACAGTGAAAGTGAGAAAGTGCTGTGGATTACAGGTTCAGGCGGGTTGCTTCTATCCTCCACACTCGAGGACTGCGGCTGGTACTGAG